TGCAGCACCACCAGGGAGGGCCCCATGAGCATTTTTCATTTTCCCTTTTGTAGATTTGTTTCAACCCCCAAGGGAACCGCCTTCTCACCGGCAGCTCTGACAGGACAGCGAGACTCTGGGACGCCCAGACGGGCCAGTGCCTGCAGGTGCTGGAGGGCCACACAGATGAGATCTTCTCCTGCGCCTTCAACTACAAGGGCGACATCATCATCACAGGTGGGTGAACACACCTGGCTTTCCATTTCCAGGTGGAGGTTAGAGTTCCGAAGAGCAAGGCCCCCAGGACACCCCCTCTTCTGGCTCACTGACTCAGCCGGGGCCTTCTGTGTCCAACATTTATTTTTAGTTTCATTCCATTGCCACACGCTTGAGCTCTACCCGGGGAAGTCTCTTGAATCTTGAATTTTAGTTGCCCTCGAAAAGACAAAATTCAATAACCTGCTTTCTGCTTATGTGTTTCAGGTGTAATCCACCAGGTGGTTAGTATTCAGTGGGTGTTAAGTGTTTGTCAGGACCTGCCTTGTCCACATTTGGAGTTCTAGCCCCTTGGGGGTTTATTCATAAAGCGAAGTTGTTTTCTGCTTGATTGTCCTCACTGACATTTGGGGAAGAGATGACACATTGCGTATTTTTCAGCCATTAAAATTTGGGGGGGGGTGAATTATATTAGCAGCACTTTCCTTTATCAAGATTTTATAAGAACTGAGTGAGGATAGGTTCATTTGGATTGTGGAAAGGGGACAACATGGTAAAAATACAGCTAAACTAACCACTTACCCTCCTCTTCCTCATGTTTGTGTGGTGCCTCTCCAGAGGCTTGGCAGGGAGAGGGGCTGGGAGCTCTGGCACTGAAGGGCAGGGGCCCCATAGAGGGCACAGAGGCCTGACCCAGTCTCCCGATCCTCACTGTGTAGAACATGTTTAACTGTCCCAACACATGACTCAAGTTTGAGTGCGTATTTCAACTGGCTAGGTGGCTTCCTGCTCAAGTCACCTCTAGAGAGCCGAGAATCACCTCCCTTTGGCCATAAAATACTTCCCTTTCTACTGCCCCCATTCTGTGATTCTGATAACCTCCAGCGAGCAGTCCACTCAAATGCCTGCAGTGAGCCCCAAAGTGCTCCCCTAAAACCTAGGGCCCACAATCCAGGGGTCTGCTCTGCTGAAGGCAGGGCAGCTATGTCTCCCACAATCTGACAATGCTGTCACCCCGCTGGCCACTATTCAGCACTTCGGTACTGAATTATGAAGAAGTTCTACAATTACCAATGACTTTCTTTGTTTTACTTATTTATTTTTAAAGGTTTGTTTGTTTTTGCATATAGACTGGGGTACAGGCCAGAGGTGCAGGGGCGGTAAGAGGATTCACCAGAGACAGAGTGGGGAGCAGAACAGGCTGATTGATGAAGTCCACTGCTGAAGGGAGCAGGAGAGGTCTGCTGCGCCCTGTGGGTCACCTCTGGGGCGGGGATCGAACTCGTGCTGAAATGACTTCTTAGTGCTGTGCCACAAGGGGGAGCCTCTTTGGGGTTTTGATTTTCAACTGTTACTAAAGGAAAAACACACTGAGGCAGCTCTTTGTCATGGACTGTGACAGGAAGGAGCAGGGAGGCTGCAGGTGTGCCGCGCTTACTCTTGGGAAGTTGTCGCTGAGGAAGGAGGCAGAAAAGGGTGTTACCAGAGAGTCAGCCTTCCGAAGCCCCCACGCTCACTAGTTCTGCAGCCCCTCTCCCCTCGACCTGTTCTCCACCTGTTAGTGTCTGCGCCTAATCTGGGCACCGGCTCCTCAATCCCCAACTCTTTGAAGATAATCGCGACTTTCTAGTGGTTTCCAAAGCATCAATGTGCTGAATAGTGTCCAGTGAGGTGACAGCACTTTTCAGAATGTGGGGGCCACATCTGTCCTGTCTTCAGCAGAGCAATCCGTGTCTGGATTATGGGTGCTAGGTTTTGGGTGACCCCGTTGGGGTTAACTGCAGGCAGTTGAGTTGACTGCTCACTGGAGGCTGGGTGCAGAATCACAAAGTGGACAAGAACCAGCCAGCCTGGTCATTCAAGTTTAAAACCAAGAGGTACCCTGGATGGCAGGTGCAGCCTCCTGACTAATCCTATACCTCTGGGTGCCTGACCCTGAAGTTTAGAGAAGTAGCAGCATTGCACTGCTTGGCACCAGCTGTTCTTTAGTGGAGGGGATGCAAAAGGCATCCCTTGGGCACCAGGCTGCCTTGGGTGGCTGTCTGCCCATGGGGAAGGAGAAGATGTGCATCCCATGGGGACTGTGAGTAAAATCTATGGACATTTAAAAGTGTCCCAAAGGGGAAGTGCGGTCTCCTCATAAGCTAAGCGTCCTTGTAGGCTGCAGATGTTCATGGTCACTGTGTGCCCACAGCCATGCTGAGGGGACGCAGAGGTTGTAAGTGGAGTGGGTGATAAGTGGGTGCAGCCTCAGGCTCTCTCCAGTTGCAAGATGACACAGTTGTTAGCATTATAAAGACGGAAGCTTGTATCCTTTAGAGTCATCAGGAGTCTTGCAGAAAATTCAAACCAAAAATCATCCCAAGTTCACAAAGCCTTTGCTACCCTGGGCCCTGGCAGCTGAGAGTCCAGTGCATTCCACACACCCACAGTTGACCGTGACCCAGAACAGGTCGGATTGCTAGAAGAGAGAGTTAAGTGAATGAATTAAGGTGAAAATAACTGGGTGGATTTTGTTTTGTAGGCAGCAAAGATAACACCTGTAGGATATGGCGCTGAAGAAGGGAGCTGGCCGCCGGGAGCCGCAGCCGTCCACATTTCCCAGGCAGAGGCAGATTGTTTTGATACTTCACGTATTTTCTCCTTTTTCACATCAACTGTGTATAGGCTGTCATCAGCTTCACAGACATGACCATTAAAACTGCTAACGTGTGTCCTTTCGTGATATTATTTGATGGCAGGAGTCAGCATGACATCTGAAAAACGTTGCTGGTTATTTCAATCTTGTTTTATGTTTGAACATCATTCAGGAGAAATGAAAGTGAGAAATAGTGTGCCTCTTTGGAAGACCATTTTCATTTCTCTTGAATAAAGTTTCTGGAAGAAACTCTTTGTGAATTGTATGCCTACGTGATGTGTTGTTTGGAGGACATATATGTCAGCAATGTGATTCAAAGTTTATTATTTAGTTATTTTACTTCTTCACCTAAGCATGAGAAAGGATTTTGAAACAAAAGCTTAATGTTTCTCCTATCATATTCAAACTATATTCCCCCGATACTAACTTACACTGAATAAAATTAGGAAGCATGTAGAGAAACGAAAACCAATCTCATTTAATAGCAAACTTACCCTGGATTCATAGTGGGTTGACAAAACATCGGCAGGTTTATCTGGAAAGAGCAGTTAAGCAAGACAACATTCAGTTAATTGAATGCAAAATTCTGGGTGGAAAACAAATGAGAGGATTGATGAGAGCGATCACCAAACACCAGCCTGATTCCGTGGCGAAGTGTATATTAAAAACTAATGTAAAAAGTTAAATCAGAAGGTGAGAATAGTGACGCCTGAATCCAGAGCAAATATATGTTAAATAATTGCTTTGTAATAATTGGCATGTGGCTGGGAGCTGACTGTGGGCCAGAGGTTACCCACTCCCACCTCTCAGCTAGACCATTTCATTTAACCCCCTTGACAACTGTTAGAAAGCAGCTAATGAACAGTCCTGATCTGAAAATGAGGTAGGTGAACTTCACGGTCACCATGAAGGTCAATCATATGCGGAAGATGGGAGATGGATGAGTGGTGCAACCTCCAGGGGATTCTGGCTCCGTCTTTCCTGCTCTTAAGTGAACTTGGTTGAGCAACTGAGAAGAGCGTCAGGTGCGGGAGCAGGAAGGAGCAGGTGAAAATCACCTCAGAGATCACCTTCGGATGTTGATGCTTCTCTTTGAATCAAGTTGCCTTTGACACTGTTTTCCTGGACTGTGGGATCTTAATCAGGCAGCTGCAACACTTAGATACCCATGTGTTTACGGAGTAATTAAAGAACAGCGCGGTTTCCACTGTGTTCCCCGAGGAAGACTAGAAAGTGTGTCTATATTCTCAAGTGTCTGAGGTTGCACGCTTTTTTGGTTCTCCTGTCTCAGCTGGCGGCGGTGTTCTCTCGGTCTATAAGTCTAGCTGATATCCTTTGCAGTCACAAGCGAAGCGTGTACAGAGTGGACGTCTCATCTTCTCCCCTTTGTAGATCTGAGAACAACGTGGAGCACAGAACTATGCACTATGGCTTAAGGTTGCGGACAGGCTCGACATATCTGGGCCAAATGGCCCGTCTCACAAATCCTGATGTACCGTGGAGACATTTTCCATCTACTTTTGAGGATGAAAGCCCAGAGATGCATAAGTCGTCACTGTATTTTTCTCTATAGAACCCTCTACTGGAAAGCATGTCATAATTATTGATCTCAAAATGATACCATCTATTACAGAATTCAGCATTTAATTCTGTATTTTAATGTTAATACTTGACCAGAGTGTAAAATGAATTTTCTTTCTATATTTTTAAGATGTTTATTTCATTGTGCAAGGATTTTTAGGTTGACATATTCCCATTTATTTTTGCTCTTTTTTTTTTTTTAAGATTTATTTATGCATACAGAACTGGGGTACAGGTCAGAGGCTCAGGGGCGGCGAGAGGCTTCACCAGAGACAGAGTGGGGAGCAGATAGAGGAAGTACACTGCTGAGGGGAGCATCAGACGGGTCAGGAAAGGTCTGCCGCGCCATGTGGGTCATCTCCGGGGCCGGGGATCAACTCGCGCTGAAGTGAGTACGTCTCCCTTGCAGTGCTGCGTCCTTACCCATCACACCACCAGGAAGGGCCCTCTTTCTCTGTTTTAATAAGTTTGTTTTTTTTTTTTACAGTTTGAATGGGTTGAGAGTCTAAGGTTCATGAATAGTTGGCATTTGATTATTTTAGCATAACTATAAATCAAAAGGGTCAAAGCGACTTGTGTTTGGGTGCCAGAGACAAAAATAAGTCTGTGATTAAATTAGCAAAGGCTGACGCCTCCCTGATGGTGCAGAGATTAAAGTCTTTCAAGCTGTTGACAGCCATTTCAGCAAGAGTTTGATCCCTGGCCAGGAGCTGACCACATGGCACAGCAGACCTCCGCTGTCTCCCTGCTGCTCCCCTCAGCAGTATGTATCAGTGGATCTGACTGTTCTGCTCCCCACTCTGTCTCTGGAGAATCCTTTAACCCTCCAGACCTCTGTCCTGCACCCCAGTTCTTGTGTGCATAAATAAAAATAAATTAGCAAAGATTACTTATTCATATATTGTGTAAAGGCAAATTATCTGTTGCCCTTTTTGTTTCAGTAGGAGTTCAAGTCTCAAAGAAGGTCAGTTTCCCAGAGCATAATGATGAAGCCCATGGTGGGATCTGATTCATCAGGACTAAGGAAGCTCGGAGTTTTGGAAAAGGGGTGTGCAGTAAACATTGAATTCCTATCACTAGTTATAGATCGAGGCTCTGCGTTGATGACTTGGATTCAAAGGATTTGAGAGTAGAGGAGCTTTGCACACTCAAGTCAAAATTCCTCATGAATTCATTATGATCGGGGCATCCCTGCTAATCCTCCAGTTCATCTCCTGCCTAGTCGGGAAGAAAATAAACGCAGTGGATATTTTGAGTGCTCTTTCAGGTTATTTGGATTCAGGTTATATGAGTAAAATTTTGGTTCAGCTTAATAAACACTTTACTGTGTCAGCCTGGTTTTTTCAATACCTTTTTCCTTTTGCAAACCCTTGAATTCATGTTAATCCAGCCTGTCCAGCAAAGCTAATTATTAATGATAAAGAAGAAGCTGCAAATGGCATGAGGTGGAATTTAAAAATTTGTTTTGAGGCCCTCCCTGGTGGCGCAGCGGGTTAAAGCACAGCACTGAGAATCTAAAGCCGGTTCTGCATGAGTTCAATTCCCACCTGCCCCGGAGGTGACCACATGGTGCGGCAGACCTCTCCTGACCCGCCCGCTGCTCCCCTCAGCAGTGTATTTCATCCATCTGCCTGTTCTGCTCCCCACTCTGTCTCTGGTGAAGCCTCTCGCCACCCCTGAGCCTCTGGCCTGTACCCCAGTTCTGTATACACAAATAAATAATAAATCTTTAAAAAAAAAAATTTTGTTTTGAATTCCTTCTTTTAGTACTTAAGGAGATAATTTTATTAGAAAAATGGGAGGGGATTTATCAAATATTAAAACATATTTAAGGGAGGGAAGACTTCCCTGGGTGTTCTGATATCTATTAATGTTGCAGTGATTGGTATGTTTGGGGGGAACTGACAAACGTCCCCACATTTGAATTTTAATTACTCATAGTGATGATCCACGAGGCCATTGCTCTGTCAGTGAAAGTGACGTCAGACATACTCCTCCTTGGCGCCTCCTGCGCGTTCAGCGTGGGCTCTGCGGGTGGGTTTGTGCCAAATGCGTGAGGAGCCAGCCCCCTGGACTCCCCCACTGCTTCCCACCCACCACGTGCCCACAGGGGCTCAGTGTTTTTCTTCATCTGTACCGGCAGTCTTCTGCCAGTATTTCTAGGACACATACTTTTGTCTTTATATGTAGAAATAGCAATTTGAAGGGGTTTGGAGGGAGCCTGATTTTCTGTTCAATCCATGTGTGGGCTTCTCTGAATTTGCCCAGAGTTTGTATATTCTCGGAGGGGAGGATGAAGCTGGCATTTCCCCCTCAGGTAATGGCAGGCTTATTTCCTAGGTGTGCCTGAGGCAAGAGCACTCACACCACCCTCTTCTCGGTCAGAAGAGCTCCCCCAACAGGAAGGGCAGGAGCAGCTTCCGTGTCTGTGTACTGAAGAATAATCAGGACTAAATAATCATGTTGAATCCTAGGAAAGTGGCAATTTGGACAAATTTTGGTCTACAAAAGTGGACTCCTGTGTGTGTGTGTCTGGTGAGGCGTCTGCATCCAGGCTTTTCACCAGATCCTGGAGGGTGGCCCCCACCCCTACCGCAGACACTGAAGGGGCAGACAGCAAGATTCAAGCAAAGGCTGGTGAGCCACCATGTGGGGGTGAGACAAGCTTCCGTCTGCCACGACTTCGCCCTCTTCTCCTAAACAACATTCAGTTTCCAGTTTTAGAACCTGATCCGATGGAGCAAAGAGAATTCTTTCTGGCACTGTTCTCCGTGTGGCTGTTGGCTGTGTGGGCTCTAAAGCAGCTTGGCCATTGTGACAGCATTTCAGAGATTATTATGATGCTTTATTCTTGCCTCTTCTCTCAGGGCTCTGGCATATGTGCATGGAGGAAAGAGATGGTCAGAGGAAAACCAGTCAAAGCAGAGAGAGCTCCCCCCAAAGTCAGCCTTCTCTACCAGGACTAGTTGGTTTCCAGATAAATCCTAGAGCCTGTTGAGGGATGCCCTGCCAGGATCTCAGTTACCTGGAAAGATCTACATCAGGAGAAGAAGCTTCTCTGAACATGGTTTCACCACTAGGAGATAGGTCTTTGCCTTTCGGTGAGTTTCTGCAGAACGTTGTGTGGTAATGTTAGAGCAGTTTCCCAGAGAAATCAGACAGCACTTAAGAGAGGTGGAGAGAGATTTCAGTGTCATCATGGTGGGCTCGGTGGGGTCAGTCCCAAAGGGCTGAGCCCCAAATTACAGGAGTGGTCAGGTTCTATACAGGTTGTATGAGGAAATTTGCCATTCCATCCGTCACAGCATAAGCATTCTTTGCTGTTTGGGAAGGGGGTCAATATAGCCACAGCTACTACTGTGGCCTGGGAGCACACTGC